ATAAATAGTTGTGTTTCAATCGGAAGTACGATGAGTTCATATGGTCGTAAAAAACGAAGAGCACCACAACCACCACGACGTTCAGAAAATATAGAAACAAATGAAGTAAGTCAAATTTTCTACTTAAATACTTTTAAATTTATCAATTTTCATTATTTAATTATTTCAGACGGTTCATGAAGCATCTAACATAAAACTTCAAATAGTGGAACCAATTGATATAACGAGAGTTACCGAGAATATAGACGATTTGACGAAAAAGAGTAAAAATTTAGACCAAGAAGTTAATGAAGAAAAAGAAAATTCAATTTTGAGTTCCAACGATGTACCATCTAAAAAAACAGAAGACAATTTAACAAAAATTATAGAAACTAATGCAAATACGCAAAATAAAGAGAAAACTTGCATTGAGGAAAAACCTATAGATATGGAACAATTAGAATCAAAAATTTCGCTTATAGAAGACTATAAAAAATCGGAAAAAGATTTTGAGCAATCTAAAAAAGAGGAAGAAGATATTCAAGTCGAATATTGCAGAACTTCTCAGAAAAATATAGAAATAATTAAAGATGTAGATCAAACGAATTCATTAGAATTAGATGATATCTCTCTTCGAAGGAAAAGTTCTTCAAGCACATTATCCAGAAATGACAGTTTTTCTGTGAAAGATGAGATTGAAAAGATAGAGAGACAAATAAAAGCTCTGGAAACAAAGAATGCTTCTAAAAACTGTTCGGAAGAAAAGAATATAAGGAATTCGATTCAAGAGAATCGTAGGCATTTTTTTCAAAATATGGTCGAGATCGATAATGATAAAGATCCGATTAAAATAGAATTTAAAGAATTTCCGAAAGAACAAAAGGACATTCATGTGGTAAGACTAAATGATTCACCTATTTCCGTAGTAGCTTCTCGAGAGCCGGTGAAAGTTATTGAGCTTCATATTTCTGAACCTATAAGACGAAAGCCAGAAATACTCGAAGATGTGAATCCAATTCCAAAACCTAGGAGGCATAGTGCTTTAAATCTAAATGATTCTCAATCAAACATGACTCTAAATAATACTAAAAACTTTGAATCAATAAGAGGGAAATCTTTGTGAATATTATTTTTAATGATAAATTCTTGTAAGAAATTGTACAATCTTTTTGATTTTTAAATTAAATAGAAGAATATCCCTGTTAATTTTAGTTGAGATATCTTTAAAGACTGTATAAATATTGTGTACATGTATATTTATTTTGTGCTTAAATTTTTTCTTGATCACTTTAAATATCATTAAATACATAATTATCAATTTAAATTTGAATTCTGAGGCAATTATGAATAAAATTATTTTTACAATATTTTTTAAATAGATTATTGCGAAATACTACTTTTTTCAAAAATCGATGTATTACAAATATGCATATTATTATCATCTGAATCATTATCAAATGGAAATGAATTTTTATACTAATTCAAATGTAAATTTTGTGATCATGAATGCTATTAATACAAAAATTATATTAAATTATATTAGGTTGTTTCTTTCCTATATAAATCATGTATTATTTTGTAAATTTAAAAAATTTTCAATTTTATAAAATTATAAATATTCATAATTCATAATTGATTTTTTCGAGAATTTTAATTTAATTTAAAATTTAATATGGTTGCTTTAATACACAAAGCTTTTATTATTACAATTTAAGAATTAGATAATAATATTTTATAATATAAATATATATTTACATTGTAAATATTAAATTTTAGTACATTAATGTACTAACACATAATTGATAAAAATTGTTAATGTATAAAAAAACAGAATGAATCTTCTAAAGATTTCTTATCCTTTTTTCTTTATACCTTATAAATTTCATAATATTCATATTCACTGTGGACACTATTGCAACATTGTCTCCTAAAGTTTTTTTTTGTTGTCTCATCTATAAATAAAAAATAATTTTAATAATAAATTTAAAATATGAATTCTATAATTTGATATGATATTCAAATTGAAATAAGATCTTACTTTATTTCTAAAACAAGGTATCAAGGTTTGTAATTTTTCTAGCAATTTAATTTCATTTGCTAATTGGTCGCTATTATCTTCTGCATATATATCTATTATTGTGTCCAAAAATTCTGCCATTACCCAAACTTTTGATTCTAATATACAAGCATCCAACAAAAATATAGATATATGCTAAAAAAAAATATTAGTATACAAAAATATTCAACATTAAGGTTTAATCAAAATTTATAAATCTTACTTTAATTATTTCACGAGCTTCAGATGTATCATTGTTTCTTAAAATCAAAGCCAAATTTCCTAATATTCGTATCAAATTTACTTGAATATTAGCATTTAAACATTGTCGTTCTCTGTTTAACATTGGTTGAACATCAGCTAATGTTAAACAGTTAAAAATATTTACTTTCTCCTCAGATAATTTTTGAATAGCAGCTCTCATAGCTGCTGTAGCAGATTCTAATAATTCTATATCATTTGCACTTGTATCCTTGAAAACAATTGTTCCAATTTCTGTCCACATCCTAAAATATCATAAATTGAATAATTTTATATAAATTTTAATTTAATAGAAATTGTATATTACCTATATACATTTTCTATACCACCAAGTGCATCAATTTCTAAACATGATATTAAATTATTTAAACATAAATAGGCTGTACAATTTAAAGTATGAATTTGCTTTAAGATATCTTTTCCTTCAACATTTTGTTCTAATATTTCTAATGTATCTTTGTTTATAATTCTAGTTTTATCCCATACTTTATTTATTATGTTACAGATATTAAATATTTCAACTATTTCTAATGGTAAAGAAAACATAGTTTTATATAATTTATCATCCATACAAACATCATCTATGTTTTCAATCTCACAATCTGAATTTTCTAAATCAGATTCATTTTCATTTTCTTGATCTTCTGAACATAAATTGGCTAAAATCTCTAATGCTTGCTGCTGTGCACCAAAAATCCTTCTATTATCTTGTACTCTTTTTTTTGCATTACTAGAAAAAGCATTTTTTTCATAGGGTAAAATTGAAATCAAATTGGACAATAATTGTTTACAATCAATAGAAAGAGTATCAGATAATACATTTATCACTTTGCAGATTATATTCATAGAAATATTTTCTTCATAGTTAGTCAAGTTAATTAATAAACCACTTATAGCAGTTTTAAAACAAGCTATTTCAGAAACACTAGCATTATTTATTTCTGTGTTTAATAGTTGATTAAGTGTATCTTCAGAATTTTTAAGTTTTTTAATAGCATTGATATTATCTTCTGACAAAGATAATAAACATTGTGTAATAATTGTAGCAATTTCTATGCCATAAATAGTGATATCAAAAAATTTTATTAGGATAGAAACAATATCATTTTCATTGCAACATTTTACAGCAAATTCATTGTGTTCACATAATGTCCACAATAATGTAACTGCTTGAATGAATGCTTCTTTTTCATCAATTACTTTGTTTTTCTCATTATGATCGTTTGGTTGCCAATTTGTATAATACTATAAATTATGTTTAAATTATTAATTTATCATAACAAAATTATTAATTTATCATATCAAACTAGAATAAAAAAAAATTAACTTTTAAACTTACTTGTTTTAACAAAGTACACAATGGACTCATAATATCATCATTTAATAAATTAGTATGTGCTTCCATTTTTCCATTATCTGCTAAATATCTTAAAGCACTTGCACTGCTGGTTCTTATGAGAATATTTTTATCAACAAGTAATGGACCTATTATTTTAGCAATTCCATTTTTTGTAATTTGTATAGCAAGAGTTGAATTATAAGACATTGATTCAATTGTTTGCAATCCTGATAGTTTTTCCTCAATATTAACAGACTGTATCTGAAAAATTTATTATTTTATTTTTAAATGTTAAATTATTTTAAATTATTTTTAAATATACAAAAATGAATAGAAATGTGAAATAAAAAATTTTCATGTAAAATACTTCTTCATATACTCTTCTTAAAGCACTTTCCCGATCATCATTCGTAACATCATCAATTTCTTCTGTTTCAAAATCTTTAACAGATAAAAGTCCTGTAGGATGTTTTTTATGTGGTCTATTTTTTTGTCTCTTTTGCTTTCCCATTTTTTTTTAATATATGAATTATTGTGAATTAAACAAAATTATTTAAAAATACACGTGTTATTTCTATTTATATCTTTCTTTTTTGTCTCTTTCTATTGAAATAATTTTCACTAAATATTCACTAAATTATTTTTCACTAAATAAAAATAAAATGTTAAGTTTTTACAGAAATTACTTGACTAGGTTTCACATGATTGGTTAAATTTTTAAGAAAATTGATTGGTATAGTGAAATATATCAGCGAATCAAAAATATCTACTTTCATTTATTTATCATCTATAAAATAAAATAGCAAGAAATTACCCATAATCCCTTACGTTTTTTGAGACATGCGCTTTGAATAATTACATTCACGTATCAATTTGTATAAATAAATAATAAAAATTTGTTTAAATTTATATGATAATATCGCAAAAAAACAACATAGAATAAAGATATTTATAATATTTATAAATAAAAATAGATTAGAATTATATATATATTTTATTAATTATTATATTTTTATAATTATATTAAATAAATTTTAAAAAAATAAAATATTTTTAATATAGTACGATACTGTAAGAATTTAATATTTGCCTCTCTGTATTACGCATGCGTCAAATTTGATTTCGTTAGTCCAAATTTGACTCTTATAAATCTTTTCAAATGTGTAGCTGGTATTTT